AGACATCAGGGAAAAAATAAAGGCATGGTTTGAATCCCATCGGGATATACACTGCGATTATTGGCTTTTAGAAAGTGATCACAAAATAATTTGGTATTTAATTTCACAATTATTAACATAAAAACTCAAATCTCAAACACATATTAATTCAAAAATACCTAATTTTCATATCAATTGAAAAAATAAAATAATAATTAAAAAACTCAAAACTAAATGAAAACTTTTGTCTCAAATAAAATTATCAAAATTTCAGTGCAAAATATATAATTAATATTAACATATAATTTGTTCACAAATTAAAACTCAATCTATTGTACACTTTATATAATCAATTATAAAATCACGCAAAAACTTTCATCTCAATAAAAATGTTATGATTTTAAACATAAAATACAATTAAAACATCAATAAATTCACAAAAAAACATATCTAATTACACATAATATTAATTCAAAAAACATAAACTAAATTAAAAGTTAAATAATAATTAAAAATAAATTGAAAAATTAAAATCTAAACTAAATATAAATTGCATTTCAAATGAAATGAGAGAAAACGATGAAAAAATGTTCAATGATTTGCAACAAAAATCAAAAATACATTATATAATCACTTATCATATGTTCATTATAGCCATAAATACATTATAAATTAAACGTATAGTGTCTTACATAAAATAAATTAATCAAATTATCATATGTTTCATAATGTGTTGTGTTTTTTGGTTTGGTTTGAGAAAATTAATTATCATTTAAATACAATGTTTGCGTTAAATATAATGTGATTTCAAATGAGAGCTGCGATAGATTTAAAGATATATAATTATGGGTAAATTCAATGAATCATGATGATTTATTTTACATATATCCCGTTATAGTGAAGCTCGTAGAGTAGACAATGATTGGGTGCATTTAGTTATGTTGTGAGAACTTATGTAGGTATATGTTAGTGAATTGCAATCAAAACGACTAATAATAACTCGGTTAAAAATTAAAAATTACCGAGAACAAAACAACTCAATAATTATGATAATATTACGGCTTAATTAGCCTATCAATAGTGTATAAAGTATACACTACACTAATAATAACCGTGTGTTTTGCATATGCTTTACCCTACAGTACTAACTAGTATTGTATTATTAATTAGATGTGATTTACTGAACGTGTTTAATATTGTTTATCAATAAAAATTATCATTATTAATTAAGTGCCATAGTAAATGTTACACGTGCTAAACATAGATTTAAGTGTTTACAAACTAATTACTAAATTAATGATGGTAACAGAATTAATATCAATTACATGAATACATTTATATATCTCATTGGTGTACAAACTCGGCGTACACTATACTGTATTATATATGGTAAATGGCTTTTATAATGATAAAACAGTGAGTTGGATGAAGTAAAAACGTGATGGTAAACTACAGTCAAGCCTGTAATCAGTTTATATGCGAGAAAAGCAAAAGTAAAACAAAGATTTATTACAGATTTCAAAAGAAAATTTTTAAACTCATTTTCAAAACATTTTTCACTGAAAAAAAAAACAAAAATTGCGAGAAAAGCCATTTAAATGGAAAACTTGATTAAAATTCTATGACATTATAATCAATAAATACATGTATAATGTATGAAATATCTATGAATTAATGTAAATATACTGTAAATGTATGTGTGAATGTATGGAGGCGTTAATGACCATGTTTAATATGAAAAATTTATTTATTAACCATCATCATTATAATCATTAAAAAGTATTATAGTATTAATTCTGGTATTTCAATAAAAATCACTTTGAAAACGGATTCTCTAATTAATCTCTGGCTTTAAATAACAGTTATATTTAAAGTTAAATATATTTTTTTCAATATTATTCTTACATCAAAAATAAACTCATTATTCAAATTCTAATCGCATTAAAATATATAAATTTTTATCTCGATAATAATTCTTAAATTTACTTATCATAAACTGATCATGTGTAATCCGTCACGAATAACTATCCATATAATATATAAATTATTAATAACTGACTTTTCAAATAACTTTTCATATAATTTTAATCTTATATATAAATATCTGGTTTCTATGCATTGTATTTATAATCTATTTTTAATTAACATAGCGCAAAATAAATCTTATTTTATATTTATGCATTACAATTACAAGCTTATAATAGTATGTGTGTGATATAGATAAATGTCGTAATAATAACATTAAACTGATCAGGATTACTAATTTAAACTGATCCGGCTTATTGGCTTAAATTAATGGTATAAGCATTTTATAGCCGTATATACTATTCATTACAACGTTTTCTATAAATACGTGGAAAATGTTTGGAAAAATATGTTTTGTTTCGTAAATAAAATTTAATTAAAAATCTATTTTGGTTTTGTTTTTTCGTTATGTTATAGAAAAGCGTAGGATTTTAGCCATTAGTATATAAACACTACAAGAATATAATATTTAAGTATTAAGAATAGAGACGATTATAATAAACACTCGTTATAATGAACTAAATGCAATTATATTTAGTTTTTAACTGTAATTTACATTAATGTAATTTGCATTAATCGTATAAATCGCATGTAAGTACACTATAGGGTTGTGTATTATCCATATAATATACTATGTAATATAAAGAGCATTAAATAAGCGACTCTAAATAAATAAATCTCAATTATTCGATCATGTTCATTATAAGTAAATAACCATTCTTTAAGCCCATAAAAATATTGTCGCATAAATAGTCAATTATTAGGTTTATTAAGAATGTATTAATAGTAAATAAACTAAATTCTATCCGTAATTGATTTGGCAATAAATAATTAACGATTATTAAAAATTTACCTCGTATAGTTTTTATCAAGTGTAGTATTTTCAATGACAACGATAGAGAGCGGGAACGGGAACAGTGAGTAGAAAGGGAAACAACGGGAATAGTCTTACAATACTATGCGTACAATTAGTATGAAATATCCAACTATTATAAAATGATTATTAAATTATTAATCAATTTATAATATAGTGTTAGATAGAAATTAATTCATATAATCAATGAGTTAGTGATAGTGTGTAGTGAATGAATGCTTGTTGTGAACTAATCGTTATTATGAATTAAATGAAAATGATAAATGTCAGTCTGGTTTTTATATAACATATGTTTTGCACACATATTGTAAACCATATGAAACACAAAATAAAACAATTGTGTTGTGAGGTGTGTATTGTGTGTGTGAAAAGTGGTCGTGATTTTTATGTATGATTTATGTATTCACAGCAAAATTATATCCACTTATCATTATTAGAAACATTATATTAATGTTGCAATGATTTATAAATATTTATACCGTTATGTAATTCGTAAATGACTTATACATGTGTGTAAATGTATATTAATATTCGATAATGAGAATTGCCCTGATTCATTTTCATATGTGTATGTGTCTGTGCGGTAGTTATAATATACCAAAATAATCACTTTGTTTTTTGTCGTGGTTATGCATAAACATCGCACATTGATATACAAGAATATTCTGTAATATTCAATATTTATATATAGATATATAAACTATAGTAATAATAATCGTTATAACAATATTATATGTCTCAAAATCGAGGTGAAAAAAGTGATCGAGGTGGAAAATTTCACAAAATAATTAAAAGCAAAATAAATTAAAAACAAAATAAAAAAAATTCTGTCAATAAATTTTAAACAAAAAATATTTATATGTTATTAAAGTAATTAATTATTTAAATAATTATAATCATAAATTCGACATGATAATTCACAAAATTATTAACACGATTATATGCAATCATTAATTATTACCATTCACAATTAATATGTGAGCAAAAAACATAGTTATAATAATAAATAAGTGAAACCTTTGGTCGGAGGGGTAAACAAATGGTTGTAAAATAATTATTGAGTTGTTTTTCATTGTGATATAAAAACAGTAGTATTTTTGGCCACAAATCGCCGCTTTCGGTCCGCATAGCACACCCGACACATCACTACTCCCTACGGATCCGTTTGCTTGTGCGGGAAAGTGTGGTCGTAGTGGTGGCCACAAAGTCAAACTCGGGTCCGCCTAAGAGTCCGCCTTTGATCGTGCCTTCAATTGCGACAAAAAACAAACAAAAAAACAATTAGTTGTCTGCAAACACGCGGACAATAACATGATAACTACCGGCACCTATATGTCACACAATACTCACCGGAATGTCTGTACCGTTTCTTGGTGTCCACCTGGGACTGGGCGGTCAGCTGCAGCTGTATGGCCGACGTGTTCAGTTTGTCGGCCAACAGCAAGTGCTTGAGGCCGGCAATCTTCTGGCTCGACAGCGTGACCGCCGTTTTCTCTTCGCCCGGCGCCCGACTCGGCCGGCGGTCCAAATCCTTGTTCACGGGTCGGCCAAACACGTGGTGCTGAGTAGTGGCGGCCGCCGGCGGTAGGGCTGGTCCGCTGGTGGTCGGTGTGGACGTCGGCGTCGACGCGTTGCTGTTATCCTGAGAGTCGGTTCCAGTTGTAGTCGCGCCGGTGGGCGGCGCCGATGTGAACGCGTTCTCAATGTCCTGACCTAATAGGAACCGGGGGTTCAGTATGTTTTCACTGCAAGCGGCGGCCAGGGCTGCGATCGTAGGGTTCGGCTCACCAGTGACCGCGTCCATGTCCTTCACCAGCGATTTGATCAGTTCTGACTCCGAGTGGCTGTCATTACGATAATAAACATTACATTATGGTAATCAATAGGGAGGGGTAGGGGACTGGTGTGTATGGATCAGTTATACTAACCAAAGACTGGCCTCCGAGTGGACATCGCTATCGTCGACGTCAGTCGCCTTCGGCTTATGGTTATTCTTACGGCTATTATTATCACAAATGGCTGTCTCTATGGCGCCAGACTTGGGCGCCGGCGGTTTCACATCCCTGTCCGCCGCCGTCGGCGCCACCACTTCCTCCTCGTCGTCGTCGTCGTCTTCGGGCTCTTCGTTCTCCTCATTGATGTCGGCTTTGATGTCCACTTTAGCCCTGATATAGTGCGGGAACTTTGCGATAGTGGCCACCAGTGGCTTAGCCCACCCGATGTGGAGCACGGGAGTGGCGGAGCCCTCTTCCCAACCGCAGAGGCCGTCGTAGAAACGCAACAGATATGCGAAACACTCCGGGTCTTGGAGTAGCGGTCGGGCGGACATACCCGACGGTTCACAGCCGCCGGCAGACACCACGCGAACCATGTGCGGGATCAGCTCGTTGGCGATCTCCAGAAACTCTTTGTAGATCTCTTCGTCGTCGCGCGTGTAGTTGTATTGTTTCACCACTTGTGCCGCTATTATCACAACAATAATCACATAATTAGATCCCGAAAACTGTTATTCAATGGTAGATAACATATCAATCGTGATGTGATTGATCAACACTTACCGTCGGCCCACGTCTTGAGGGCCTCTTTGAAGCGGCCATTCCTATAGAGATAACCGGCGAGATATGTGTAGGGATAGACGTGATGGTCGGCGTACGACTTCTTGGCCACAGCGATGGCCTCGTAGAAGAGCTCGATGGGCGACTTGCGCGGCGTCAACGACGGGCATATGTCCTCGAGGTCACCTAGGTTGCCGATGGCCATCGGGTACTGACCGAGATGGCCGTTCTCGTACAGTATCCACAGCAGCTCCTTCTGGACGATTGCCAATTCCTCCGAGTCTTGGGTGGCGTTTATCGACGGATTCATGGCTGAGACGAGTGCCGCCACAGCCATGTATCGGCTGCAGACGATGGCGTGTCCGTTGAGGTATAGCCACGAGTCCGATGTGGTGGTCACCGGTTGGCCGCGTTTGTCTTCGTTGCCCTTCCCGTGCCAGGTCACCTCCGATGTTTCACCTAGGTCATAGAGTGCACAGGGTCAGTTTTATTATCACGTTATAATCTTAATTGTAATGCAATAATAATTTGCAGAGAGA